AGTTTTTTAAAATATTTCAACATCCTTTTTTTTAATTTTTATATAGAAATACACTATTCCTGATGAATGGGGCTTCGAACAAGCACGAGTATTATTTAAAGAACCTGATGTTTTACCAAACGATGCAGTTGATGTTAGTTTATTTTTTTGTTAATTAATTCTGTTTTTTTTAATATTGTATATTTAAATTTTAGCTTAAATGGACTGAACCAGATGAAGAAGGTCTTATAGCATATATGGTTAATGACAAAGGATTTACGTAAGTACAAGATTAAAAATCTATCTTTTATAATGAATGAAGTTACACTTCCAAATGTTTTATTCGAATGAACGGAAAAGAAAAATGAATGATTAATTTACAAATAGTAAAATATTTTTAAGAGTTAAAAGACAAAAATGTTTATTTATTTATTTCAATGTAATTTGCATTAATTACGATTGATAATGACGTGGATTAATTGCATCGAGTACTGCATTAATTTCACCTTGTTTTGAACGAACAAGTTCACGTAATGCACCATTGCTATCTGTAAAACCCATTGCTTTCATTTTTTCTAAGCATTCATCAATTGCTTTTTCTAATGGATTTGTTATTTTTGTTGATTCTTCAACTATTGGTACTGATGCACTTGCAGTTTGTTCTTCATTATTATTAATAATTGTAGTTAAATTTGTATATTTTGGTACAGCATCTGGTTCATGTGTAGAATCAGTTTCAACTACTGGAACTTGTTCGTCTTGATTCTCTGTTGGAACGTGTTCTTCTTGTTGATTTTCTGATGGAACTTGTTCTTCTTGTTGATTTGTTGAAGTTGTTTGTTCATCGACATGATATTCACAATCAATACCAAATGGTGATAATGTTTTTTGTAAATATTGTCCAACACTTTCAAGATATTGTTTTGAATTTTGCATATGTGTTTGTGTATTTGCTTTTATTGAATCAAGATGATGTTGCATATGGGCACGAAAAAGAGCAGTATTTTGTTGATTAGGTAACCATTGAGGAATTTGAGCTTGAATTTGTTCAATAAATTGACCATTTGGTACAAATGGTGGTGTACGACGTTGACGACGACCATGAAAACTATTTTGTTGTGGACCAATTGTATGAGGAAAGCTTCCTGGTTTGGTTATTTTAATCATATTATGTTCCGAATGAATACCGGCTGATGAACATTTTTCACATAAATCATAATTTGGGCAAACAAAACATTTGTAACGAAATCCAGTAATTGGACCATTACAACCATCACACGTAACACCAGCATGACATTCTTGATTAGTTGTATTTTCCTGTTGTTGAGGAACGGATTGATTGATTGTAACAAAAACCTTTAAAGTATTTGCATCCTTATTAAAAGCAATTGCTGAACGTAATTCATCATTTGAACTGAATGTAATACGTTCATTTTCTTCATCAACATATTGAAGAGTAAAATCTTTTAATTGACTATCCGATTGAAATGATGCAATCTTTGTAGATAATTCTTGATAAATATCATTTTCGGGTGAGATATCAATCTAGAAAGAATAAAATAAGTTTGATTTAAAGATTTACTAGTAAAATAACATACCGCAAATCGACGAATTTCAGGTTGTTGTTGATTTTGTTTTGTATAGTAAACTTTAATGTAATAAGTAGTAGCCATTTTCTTAGTGCGTTTTAAGTAAAATTACAAACGTAATGTAAGTAGAGTAGTAACTTCGTCGTTGAATATATATATTTATTTATCTTGAAGAGAAAAGGGTGAAAAACATAGAATGATTCATAGAATTACGAAGGGTTGAGAAGAAAGAACGATCGAGAATAAATAATAGAAAAACGTAGACAAGCAAAATGAGTGATAAATACGACACCAACGAATCATGCTTGCGCATGTCATTATCTGTTTTCATATTTTTTTGCCCTTAATAAGCAAAAGTGTGACAAACAGATGAATTTCAAGAAAAAACTAGAGAAAATATTTCGTATGTGAATAATTATATGAAGGCTAATACAAAACAGAATGTGTTATTAACATATGTTTATGTACGTCATCTCTAGGGTAGATGTCGTACTTAATTGAAAGATATGTCATAAATGTTTTTCTATTGTTTAACGATAATGATGATGTATTGTATTAATTTCAATATACGAATCTTTCTTTTTTGGTTTTTCTAGTGAAGATCGTATTCGTAATGGTGTAAAAAAATTAGCAAAAGCTCGAACAACAACACAACAAGGTCGATTAGATTCATTTTTTACTGTATCACATACTGTATCGGCTACAACACCAAATGCTAAAAAAGCTGTATGTATTGATATTTAGAATGTTTAAAATCCAGATAAATTCTTTAAATTATTTCTTCGTGTAGGCAGCGCAAACGATTCCTAACAAAGGTCTAAAACGAAAAAATGGTGCTACAAATGAAAATGCTGCTAAAAGCAAAAATAGTGGTGGCCCTGGTAAAAAATATAAATAAATTTTGTTCATTTATTCCTACAAGTCAGATATTTTCAAATCAAGAAGTCAAATTCAGATAAATTCATATCTCAATATATATTTTCTATTATGATTTGCGATCAAATCGCTTGTGCATTTCTCTTATCAAAATCTGTTTCTTTATTTTTTTGTATATATACAAATATTATTCCTATTTTTGTTTGATTCTTGTCTGTTAAATGTATATTTTTTTCGGTAAAACGACAATGATAAATATAATATGAATGTGTATTGAGATTACACGCCCACATCTAGATAAAAATAAAATTTTTGTTTTTGAAGAAATCACAAAATTATTTTGTGAGACTATCATCATTAGTTTTCAAAGGAAAAATAAAAATAAAATAATAACATGAGTAGATGATAATCAGTTTGTACATAATCATTAATCGTTCAGAAAATTTAATACTATAAATGCTCACTTAGTTATTTTAATTACCGTGATTCTTATTTCATTTTCAAAAATTCAAATAAAATCAAAATTTACATTATAATTATGTTCTTCGAGTTGTAGAATATTTGTACTCAACAAGCAAAAAGATAAATATCTATAAAAATAATTTAAAACAATATGATTAAAATCGATTACGATATGTATGTTCTACTTAAGATGCTCTCTTGAGTATTCATAAATTGATGCTTGTAGAAATTTACGAAATTATAACATCTTCATATATATATGAAATATGGATATTTAAGAGGTCAATACAATTCATTATTGTTAGAGACAGAAGTGTCTCTTATCTGTGATTGTAATTGAAAATTCATATCACTATTATCGATAAAGAATGTTTATTGTTCGTTATTTATATCCAAAGTAAATCCTTTAAGTTTTGTTATACGATAGAGAAGAAGTAAAATTTGAGTATCATACTCATTAGTCTTGCAGCAGCATGTTAATGAAAAGCATTACGTATTCGATAGATCATTCTAAAAAGGATAAATCAATGTCTGTAAATATATTATTGTCGATTATAAAGAAAAACGTTTTAGATGAATAATAGTTGATCAGATAATTCAAATAAATTAAATTGAGACAAATATTTAGTAATACATTAACTTACCATAGTGTAAACACTTTTTGTATCGTCATCTAAATGGCAAATATCAACGTATAATTCGGTAAGATTTAATGACAACCACGTAGTCGACACTAAATTATCACTAGATAAAAGTCGACTTCATTTAAGTACTTTTTGAAAATCATGTTTCATTTTGCAGAGTTCTTAAACTGAAATACTTCCAGTGGAACCTTTATTGATTCACATCACTAATACTAGCCTTGTAATCATAACTCTAATGAACAAGGATTTATAGAATTGTTTTTAGAGTGTCTAGAACAATTTAGCATATAAAAAATTAACTCTAGATAAGCTCATTGTTCAGAGATATATGTATATCAACTATGCAAAGTTACATCATTAACAAATGATTTTGTCCACATATAAAATATTTTAATAGTGATACAGTGTCATTACTATTATGTCACCATTAATTTTACGCTGCATTATGTGTGAAATGTCTCTCCATTCTATCACACATTCATAAGATGATTATCTCTATTGTCAATAATATACTAGTTGGTTCATCTATGACAATTATTAGACTTACATCATCCAATCGATTAAAATATCATCGTATTTCTATACTCATACTAACGAATTGTAGTTTATAAAAGTTTCTTAGTCTAAGATTAGAGTTTAATAGAACGTATTATCTTTTAATCTGCGTTGGATATAAATAGATACACTATTCAATAGGATTTTCTATCTATCACTCATTCATTTGAACATGCGATGATGATTTATGGCGTATTGAAAATTAGCGGCGGATGCGTCAACATTATTTAAATCGAGTATATTTGAAAGAAAAATAAACGCGTGCCGATTTACATGAAAGATCAGAACAAAAAAAAAAGAGATGAGGATGCGTCAGTTCAAAAAGATACTTTTATCCTTATGAACAACATGCAAGCGATAATGATTCAAAATTAAACAATCACGCATGATATGTCTGATCGAATTAAGCAAGTAGCAAGTATATATATATATGGTTCGCTCTTCAAATCCATGGAAATCTTTATTTTCGAAGGTATGTACAAATAAGGCCGAATTTGAATACTTAGTTAAATTATTTAAAAAATCATCTAATATAGATTAATTCATGCTATTTTCAATTTCACGTATAAAATTATCATAGAATTCTTCCATAGTGATTACCTTTTAGACTTTGTACTCTTGGGATATCACCTGATTAAAAAAACACAACTTTTCTCGAGATATATCCGTAGAGAACATCTTTATGAATTCTATAGTGACTTGATAAACAGCTGACCAGCTCATTGAAAACAATTAGAAAGCAAACAGAATGAACAAAAATCACTCATTGGTCAAGCTCACTCTGTCTCTCTTTCTCTTTCGCTTTCGCTTTCGCTTTCGCTTTTCCTTTCACTATCCGAATGAGTATAAATAGCGACAGAGAAATATTGATCACATCACTCATTCGCACCAAAAGATGAATTCAATACTATCTTTTCTTCCTCACGAAGAACATATTCGAGCTGCACCTGATTTCCAACTTTCGTCTTCTGAATCAAATCTTCTTATTACTCTACTCAATCAAGAAGACCAACATCAATACAATGAACTTCTCAATATATCACTCCCTATACATATACAACAACTTTTACATGAAGTAAAATTTTTTCTTTTCATCTATTTTCATCATTATATGTTTTTTATAGTTATCTTTACTTCTTCATCTATCATCTTCCACTACATGGATGATTACTATCTTACTCAAACAACTTATCATTCAAAAACATTCACTTGATTTATTAACTGTTGTTGCTTGTGTTACACTTTCATTCAAATATCAACAATTATCATCACAAACTATTGACTATGAACTTATTGCTAAATGTTGTCAAATCGATAACATTCAACATATTCATGTAAGTCATTTGCTTTTTTTTATCAAAACAATATAATTATGATATATTTTATTGTATAATAGGATGCTGAAGTTGATCTTCTTGATCTTTTCTCTTATGATATATCTGTGACAACACCTGACCATTTCTTTTCTTATTTATCCAATGTTAATAATAATTTGAAAGAAATAGTTGAACAAGCTCAATCTCTTCTTTCAATCAGTTCATATGCATATGAAACATATCGTAAGTGAAAAAATATATTTGTTAACTATTTATACATTTGTTATTTTTGTATTTTAGAACTTCTTCACAATTATCCATGTAGTATTGTAGTTCTTTCATTGATGTACACAATCACTTCGAATACTTTTACCATTGAACAAATCAAAAATTTCGTTACACATAAAAAAGATGCAGTACATTATTCAGTAAGTTCATAGATTTTATATATTAGTATTTCTATATCATTTTGCGTTTTTTAGGATCAACTATTAAATTGTATAACTCAAATTCAAAATATATTTTCATCATGCTGCTTACATTGATTATTTGACTAGTGTGTTATCATCAATACTACCGACACTTATCCAACAGTGACATATGAACATACCATGTAAAGATTAAATTACACATTTTGATGTCGCCATCTTGCAAACATGTGTATTCATCTAACTTTTGATGTTGTTTATAAAAAATCTTAATTTTACTTTTTTTTCTCCTCTTTTTATTTTTTTTTCATTTATATTTATTTTGTGAAAACTATTCTTCGAAAAAGAAAATATATATATATACATATACGATAGGATATTGCTAAATGATCTTGTCCTGCTGCGTATCACAATCAGATAATATGCATTTTTTTCACCTGCTGTGAACTATCCATATAGTACTAATCAGCAAACAATATGTATTATTAAAATGAAATCAAGAGATATGATTATTCAATGTTATCATTTGGGAACGTACTTGAAGATGCATTCTTGTGCACCAACAAAACCTTAATTAATTGTTCTGTCCTATTGACAAGTTAATTCGTAATTTCGAAAAAAAAAAGATGTCTCCTGTCAATAACGACAAATGTGATCGAAGGAGCATTTCAGTTTCAATGACGGTTGCTCTCAATTTAAATACATTCAAATATATATACCAAGTATCTTGAGAGAAAAAAGATCTAGTATTTTATAAGAAACTATTATGTGAATATTTGGATATGGATCATTGAATATTTAGAAAATGATATCATATTAATGATGAAGATACATATACAATTATGTTTATTCATGCTTACTGTATGTACACAATTCGTTTGCACAGTATGCGATATATTTTGAGAAAACAAGTGAATCATAAATGTTTTCTCAATAAACATGGCTATTATTGAGCTGTATTTAAGCAATTGATGATCATCCATGTAAATACACAAGTGGCTAATTGAATACTTATGCAAGCAGTTAATATGATAGTGTGAAAGAGAGAGAGAGGGAGACGATGGGTGATTTTTATTCATTCTACTATAATGATAAACTAGGAAAAAAGCTAATCAATCGAAACTGAATGACTTCATTAGGGAAAAATATTAGAGTGTAAGACACGTTTGTGTCCTAAATTGCAGCTCATTGTTAAACATGAATGAGAGTGTCATTTGTTCTCACGTCGTCCTCGTTTCCTCATTTGCAGAGCTCATCGATCTACAATGATAATTCAGTTAGTTCGCCTGTTGTTAGTGTAAATGAGAAAGAAAACATGTCAGTAGCATCTTCATCGAATATGAATAATTATCTGATTTTGACAAGATCAATATTTTGATTGACGTGAACGAAAGAACGAGAATGTAGACGATCATTACAACAGATCGAAATTGTCTGAAAAGCACTCTGCTTGTGATCATTCACACTATAAATATTCTGATCAAAACAAAACACAAAGAAATTATTATCAAAGGAACAATCATTCTCACACTTTTCTTTGCTAACCATCTGTCACCTTGACAAAAGATATTGTTTTATAGTATGCTACTTTTTTCTGACAAGAGAAAATGTGTATGGTTCACTATTGAAAGTAGTATATTTTAGGAAGCAGACGAATATTAAATAAGGTATGATGAATATGTCTATATCGTTGGTATGAGAGTGCAAGTGAATATTTTGTACATTGATCATCCATGGTTAATTAGTTAAGACATTCAATTCCAATTATCAAGATGGCATATTGAGATGAAATTATGGTCTATTCTGTCTCTAGACGATATCGTTCTAGAATCAATAATTATTATATACGAACCAGTAATGATTAGATATACGATAGCAGTCATGTGAATAGAATTTATTCATGAGCTAAAATTGCATGTAAGACACAACTAATCGATAAATAAATTGTATATGATATCTCTATTCACTTCGTTTTTAATCGATAATAAGTTACTGATTTAGATATGTACATAATCGTTATATAGTAGTTTAACAAATCATACTAATGCCAACGAAGAGATAAACATTGAACAATCAATATTTATTTATTATTCATAGTAAATTTTGCTTTATTGATGTTTTCTAAAAAATTTATGAACATTTGTTTCATTTCTAATTGTTCTATATTTATACAAGCAAATGTTGATTATCAAAGCATTTTGTTTATATTGATATGACATGATACACTTTGTTATTTATCCATCTACATAAGAAAAAAACGTATATGCCGCTTCAGTGATTATGATGATGTATCATGCGTGTGTCGCTGTTAATGTAGTGCTCATTTTTTTCAAATAAATCAAATGCATCAAAAAAAGAGCTATTTAACTGGTTTTAGTATTTGACCAATGACATATAAATAAAAAAAGATGTATATAGATCATATCATTTATTTATTCTAAAGTATGTTTTATATGGGACCATGCGAGGATAAAGATAGAGGGGTACAAATCAAAGAAGGATGAAAAAAAAATATTTGTTTTTTTTGAAATATCTCTCTTTCGATTATATTGAAAAAAGATAGAATCAAATCACTATTCACTCTTTTTTATAACCGGGTTTTGTTGTATGTGTTTTTTAAGCACGAATAAGGTCATAGACAGTTTTGATAGCACAACCCATCATTGCGAACATGCCAATATATTGAAATGCACCATATTGACGTTTTTCTGGTTGACCACTTGCATATCCCTTGAAAATTCGAAACAATTAAAAGTATAGAAACAAATTTCCTATTCTTACTTGAAAATAGACTAAACGTCCAATTAACCAAATAGCGCCACCAATGGATGAAATAAGTGGATATTGAATTGAACCTAAACCTAACATAAGGAGAAATTGTGGATAATTTTCCAATGTATTTTGATGTCCACGTTGAACGCCTAACGATATATATTTCTATATTGAATAAATAGAAAAATTAATATATTAAACTTACAATTAAATGCTTTGCTTTGTGGATGTGAATCACTTGCATAAAGTGCTGGATAATCAACATTGAATCTAAATCAAATTAATTTTTTATATAATGTTGTTTATTATTATTTGAATTATAATCGATTGACACTCTTTAAACTTTATAAAAAAAATATATTTTACCGTTTACGTGCTTTCATTACATTAACACCCATATATTGTAAGACAACCCATGATGATAAAGCAACACCAGCTGCATAACCATGTTCTCGTGAGAGAACAAATGTAAAAAGTTTTGGACCACTAAAGCTTGAATTCATTTTCAATGAATGCGATTTGAAATGAAATGGAAAATAAAAATCTAAAATTTCAAGACAAGTAAAACACTTAATGTGCAAATGTAATTTTTCTTTTATTTCTATTTGTCCTTTCTCCACATGTCTACAATAGTAAAATAATCTCAGTAGACAGCGACAAACATAAAGCTTGCGTCCAATTGCACATATATATATATATTTATAAGAAACTATACACTTTAAACGATACCGAACAGACAAACAACAACAACATAAGGGGTGTGGCGAATAGAACTGAAAATAAAAATAAAGTCGACAATGTCCAGGGCAATAGTAATGATTATATGATACGAAAAGGTTAAATAAGGATATTTATTGATCGTAAAATAAAGAGAAAAAAATGATTTTATCGAATGATATATATATATGGAATGAGAGATGTAATTTAAAGATCTTGACCCCAAAGTACTTTTAATGCACGAGCATCGACACTGGAAATTTGTGGTCCAAATAATGGTTTCCATTGATGAAGATAGAAACATAACCAACTAAAATAATGAAAAGCATAACAAAATAATTGAAAAGATATTTTCAACGTACAAGAGCCAACAACAAGCAGATGTTAATGCTAACATTGTTTGAATGAGACTAATTATACAAAAAAAGAAACATAAAATAGCAATTTAAATTGAATAAACATTTTTAAGTGTCTTACCGTCGATGCGGTCCCTTAGGAATGAGAAATGGTAAAACAATACCGATTAAACCCCAAAATACAGTAAAGACAATGAGAGAAATACTAAATTTTTCCATTTCGTCTCTGTTTCTTCGTTGAAAATAATCTAAAAAGAAATGAACATGTTCACCTGATTTTTTTACGGAACATTTAGAAAATGGATGAAATCAGTCGCGAATTCAACGAAAATAAAATAAAGCATATTATATAAAGAAAGAAAAAATACAAAGAATATGACAGAAATACATTGCATAAATAACAGATGATAATTAACAATTAGGAATGAATATTAGTTTTTTTTGCTTGTTAAAATAAAAATAAGGAATGTTCTACTACATATATTCGATATTAAAGAATGATAAAGAATCCTGAAACCTTACACAAATAGTATAGCACTTTGTTTTAACTTATAAAAATCGATTTCACACAGAAATAAGAATTATAAAACATGAACTAACTGACTAGATATGTCATATGTATTTCGCATTATCTTGTTCACACGAATATATATATATGTATATATATTCATTTCTCACAACGATAAAATGAAAATAGAGGGTCAATCTTATTGGTATACACGATAAAGAAGCAATTATCATTATAAAACAAATAATATAAAGTAAAAATAAGAAATAGTTCTGGTTTCACAAAAGAATAAATAAGCAACATTGATAAATATAACAGTTAAAAAATAATCAGAAAAAAAGAAATAAAATGTAGATTTTCTTTGAAATAGGTTTTTAATTGCGCATAGTCTTTTTTTTGTAGTTTTATTTAATATTCTCAATATGTATATATATAGAGTTAATTTAAAAAGATAGAATAATGTATATATTTTAAATCATGCCAGCATCTTCTTCAAGTTGTGTAAGAAATCGTTGCACACGTGAACTATCCTCTGCTTGACGTGCTACTTCAATACGATCAAGTAATGCTTTAATACCAATCCATACTCTATTTACAAAAACAAAAATTAAATATTTTATCATTAAAATCAATGAATTAAACATACTTTTTATCATGTAATTTTTTTTCTAAATATTTCATTTCATCATTATTAAAACCATGTTCAATTTCATTTAATACATGAAGTATCTGTTGACCAGTAGTTATATTTGCTAAATGAATTA